TGGACTTGTCAAATAAATTAATTAAGAAGTTAACTAGTGATATAATTTTTTTAACAAGTTAGCTAGGATAATAATTTAACAAGTTACATATTTAATTGGGGTCTAATAAATTCAAAAATGATACTCCCTTGGTTCAAAAATGTAAGGCATTTTTAGTTTTTTGAGGTATAATTAATGCCTTTTTTTTTCAAAAGTGTCCTTATTGATGAATAACTTTATATTTATTATAGGCTATTTAATAGGAGTAAATATAAAAATATAATGTTAGTTTAAAAGTAGGTAACTACTTTATTAGGAGTGAGATTCAAATAAAAATGCCTTACATTTTTTAACAATGAAAATATAAGGGATTCAACACATTTAACAAGCCATGTTAAGTAATGATTCACATTCTTTTTTTCCCATTTCTATTAAGGACAATTTGATCATCTAAGAAAGAAAATTTATTTTATTTTAGTTACCCTATCTATAGTGAAATTTCAAATTTGATTGGATCTTATTTGTACAAATATTACATTCATAGTCCTATAATGAAATTCTCCCTTTTTTTTTTTAATATATTGTGGCGCGCGCGCAAGGTTACTTTTGTGTAATCCACCTTACTGATCATGTCCGTGCATCACAGTATATTATGCCCAACAATGATTCTGTCTGACCACCAGACGACAATTATCGTACCATGGCCGGGCACAAAGGGGCCATGCGCTAGCTGTTATGTTATTCTTACTAGCATTTGCCTTTTTATAATTACTTATTATTTATCAATTTAATCCCTTTTACAAATATTAAGTGGATTAGATGTGGTACTGTGGGGTGTGTGGCCAATGATTACTTTTTTATAATCCATTACTACTATCTATGTTGCTGCATCACAGTGAATTGTTTTAGAAAAAATTTGTTCAAGAACCCAGTAACAAAGATATTTGGTTTGAAGGACTAAAAATTTGTAAAAGCACAAGTTCCTTAAAAAATTATTGTTTAACATCCCCACAGTCAATAACCTTGAGACTAGCTAATATTTTAAAATCTGATTATTGTTTAAAAGGCTGTTTTTTTTTTTCAAGCAATAATCTCCATAGCATATCAAAATCTATTTTCTCCATAGTGCCATTTATCCATATATTTTCTGCAACAAATTTTCAATGTGCTCCAATTTTTTTTTAAAAAAACTATACTTTATCTTTAACATTTTAACATGCTCTTAAAAGAATTTTGAAGACCTCCAAATCATTGGGAAAAAAATTCTGCAAAATATTTTCAAGGGTCTTCAATTATTTTTTAAGAGTCTGCAACATGCCTTCAACAATGATGAACAGTGGCGGAGCACATATAAATTGAGGGGTGCACATATGCAGCGCTAATTTTAGGAGAAATTACATGAAAATGATATAAAATTTTGATATTTTGTCCTGGCTCCTCTAATTAGAAGATTTTGTACCCCCATAAATTATTATAATTGATAATCAATTTAATATTTTTATCATTGATATTTTGTCCCCTCTAGATAATAAGACTTTTAATATTTATATGCATAACAATATTTAATTTACAAGACATATTTATATACTAGCTAGTTTATTTCCTTCTAAAGTTAACAATAATTTTACGTATTATCATTGCAATGGTTAAAAAAATCCTTTATTTTTTGCTCCAAAATCATGAAAAATGGACAGCATTATTGAAATAATATTTTAGTATGACTATATTTATAAAAATACTTTTAATAATGTTGACAATAACATTATTATATACTTATAATTACAAGAAAAAATATAAAGTAGAGGATAATTATAAAATACCTAATTAAATTTTTAAATTATTATTTTGAGCTTTTAATTTAAAAAAAAATACCATCGCCCTAACCTAAAAGGTTTGGTTCCAACCATTGGCAAAAACACATTGGGGTGAGGGTGAGTAAATGCACCTTTTCACTTAAAAAAAAATTATAAGTAGGATATATAAATTTTGCAACTTTGCACTATCTACTTTTGATATTTTGCATCTTATAAATTAAATAAAAAAATATTCGAGCTCAAAAGCTTATTAGATATATGTAATATTTTAATAAACAAGGCAAGATATGAAAAGCATATTTATATAAAAGACCATATTAATATGTTCAATATAATCTTCTAAAAAGAAAAATGTGATTACTTATGTTATTACAAGAATTTTAGTCCTAATGTAATATTATTTTTAAAAAAAATTATTAATTTTTAAATTAAATTATTTCGCACCCCTTACTCCATGTTCTGACTCTGTCACCAGCTCCACCACTGAAGATGAACATATTTATAACCGAACATAGCCAACCTTGCACCTCGTTCAACCCTCATGTTCTCATGGTCCCGTTCCATTTCTATCTGGCCACACATACATATACCTCCCTTGGCTTATTCATTCAGTCAGGCCCTACTATTTTACCTCTATTTCACTCTTATTCACACACATTTGGACTATTTCTTGACTCTAAGTCCCTTCTAAGATCATGGTTAGCTCTCTAAGTGTTGAAACAGATGTGAGGATATTACAAATATCATCGTGAACATTATACCTTGATATATGAGTGGATCTAGGGTCCTGTCCTGTGGCAGGGATGCAATTCAGTTTTTCTTCTTCTTCTATTTTTTTTAAATATAGTTAATTAAAATTTTAAAAATCAATTATATATTTTAGGGTTTTGAGGCAAAAATATCATAATTAGGTATTTTGTGAGGTGTTGTAGGCATCCTAAGCTACACTGTGATACAATTTTGTCCATTAACCTTATAAAATATATGGTGCAAAAAATAATCAATACATAATGGAGGCTAATCGTTTATTAAGTAAGGGTTGTGGGCTCCCCTACATTGAGGTGAGTATGGATAGATTGAGGGCAAGAGTACCCATAAACTATTATATTATTCCCTTCATATTTGCATATAAAGTATTTTTAACCTTATTCCGTATATCAATAAACATTTATTATTTAGTTGAAATCACATAATGATGTCACAATTAATATTATGATGATGGTGGAAAAAAAACACATAATTAATAATTTATTTTATTTTTCAAGACAAGGATAAAATTGTTTAAGTATTTAAAAATATCATTGACATTTTTTATCTTTAGGGACAAAATAAGCTTCCAAAAAATATTTTATATATAGGGATGGAAGGAGTATGGTGCAATTTCATCAAGAAAGATCTTTTTTTTTTTTGTCATAAAGATTGTGAAAAGCAGGCTATGCAAATGAAAGGATTGTTTAATGATTTTTGTTAAGAGATTTCAATAGCATAGTATATTAATAATGAACTTATTGTATAACTATTCTGAACATTGCAAAAATACATGTTATATATAGCAAACTATTTTATTATAGTGCAATTTTGCCCATCAATCCTAAAAAAACAGTGCAAAAATTCTCATTCTGCAGCAAAGGCACATGTTATATATAGCAAACTTTAACTATAAAAAATATCATTATTTTATTTGATCCAAAGTGCAAACATGAAAATACATATATTAATTTTTTCCAGCATGCATGGTAGATATTTTATTTTGTACACATCACACAGTTACATAAACACATTTTGATTCAGAATTTAATTATAAATGTCCAAAATGTTGATACTTTGTTTGATCAAGTGCAAACATGAAAATACAAGCATTGTATTAATTTTTTCCTACATGGAAGAAATCTTAGATACAATATTTTATTTTGTACACACCACAACTAAATAAACACATTTCGATTCAAAACCTATCTACTATTGTTGTAACAATAGAAAAAAATCATTGCTAGCTTAAAAAAAAACTATCTAAGCATAAAGATAAATCCTTATATTTTTTATTAATGCCCAATAAATGTTAATTTTATTTTTAAAAATAATTTTATCTTGTATTCAAAATCTAGAGGATATGTAAACATTTAATTGATTTTTTATAAGTATCATCAAAAGATACTATAATCTATAAACACATGTATAAACTTATATAATAATTTAAAAGCTAAAAAAATACACACGTTGACTAACGAATCCCAAACAAAACTATGAAACCAACTATATATAGTGAGGTTTAATTTGTGTACACAAAAGGACATATCATAATATTTTATCCGAAGTGCAAACATGAAAATATATATGTTAATTTTTTTTGCAGCATGCATGATAGAAATCATAGACACAATATTTTATTTTGTACACATCACACAGTTACATAAACACATTTTGATTCAAAATTTAATCATAAATGTCCAAAATATTGATATTTTATTTGATTTGACCTGCAAATATGAAAATACGTGCATTGTATTAATTTTTTCCTACATGGAAGAAATCTGAGATACAATATTTTATTTTGCACACATCACAGCTACAGAAACATATCACGGTCCAGAACTTATCTACTATTGTTGTAACAATATAAAAAAAATCATTATTAGCTTAAAAAAATATAAACTAAGCATAAGGATCTTTATTCTTATCATTTCTACCTTAAAAAAATATAAACTAAGCATAAAGATCTTTATATTTTTGTTAATGCCCAATAAATGTTAATTTTCTTTTTAAAAATAATTTTATCTTGTATTCAAAATCTAGAGGATATGTAACTATTTATTTGATTTTTTTTTTATGAGTATCATCAAAAGAAACTATTATCTATAAACACATGTATAAACTTATACAATAATTTAAAAGCTAACTATTAAAAATATATTTTTTTCTTTCCTAAAAAGTACGTTGACTAACTAATTGGATCCCACACAAAACGATGAAGCCAACTATACAGTGAGGTTTAATTTGTATCCACCAAATGACATATCACAATATTTCTGTATTTTTAAAACTGATGTAAAAATAGTATAAATACTTGAGATGAATGACATTTCCTTTTACATGCATCAATTTCTTGTCTCTCCAAAATTCATTCTATACTAATAAATTTTGTCGGTGTTTATCTGAACTCACCACTTCTTCCTTTCCAGGCTATAAATACCACTCGATCTTCACCCATGGTTCTCATCAAGCCTCAAGGCTTTAGCTTCGTCACATTCTTCCTTGCTTCCTTATATTCTCATCAGATATGGCAACTATGAGCCCCACTGACGTTAACAACCTTCAAACCACCGCCAACGGCCTCGTCCACCACCACGAACCCAAACCCAAGTCCCTCAAAGCTCGTCTTCAGAAAGGTGAATGCTTGTATGGCATTTCCTTGCAGAGTTTCTCCTCAACAATGGCGGAAATAGCCGGTTGGACCGGCTACGACTTCATCATCATTGACTTAGAGCACGGCTTCGGCGGCGTTTCTGAGGCCCTCCACTGCATCCAAGCCTTGACTTCCACCAACACTCAGGTCATCGTTCGCGTGCCTGAGGTTAACCACGTGTGGGTTAAGAAGGTTCTCGACCTCGGCCCTCACGGCCTCATCTTCCCCTTGGTCGACGGCCCGGAGACTGCCAAGAAAGCCGTGTCCTACTGCCGCTTCCCGCCGTATGGAGTTCGGGGTGTTGCCACGTCTATCGTGAGGGCGTCGAGGTTCGGCATGGACCCGGAGTACGCGAGGGAGTACTGGAAGGACTTGCTGATACTGTGCCAGGTGGAGACGGAGGAGGCGGTGAACAAGGTGGCCGAGATCGCGGCGGTGGAAGGAGTGGACGGCATAATGGTGGGGCCGTCGGACCTGTGTGCAAGCGTTGGGTGCATGAGGGAGCCAAAAAACGAGAAGGTGAGAGAGATGATGAGGAAGATAGAGACGACGGTGCTGGCGGCGGAGAAGAAGGAGGGTGGCGGGCCTTTCTTGGCGGCAATGGCCATGCCTTTTGAAGGTGCCACCGTTGACGAGTTCAGCAAGCGAGGCTATCAACTGATTCGTGGGGCCACTGATGTTGGATTGTTCAAGAACGTGTGTGTTGAGGATGTGAAGAAGTTCAACCTCAAGAAGGCCATTCAGGCCCAAAACGTTGCTCATGCTGATGCAAGTATTGCTAGACAGTGAATCGTAATCTCATCGTATTAATATTTGCATTTTATATATATCTTTATTATGTCATAATCAGCCGAGATTCGGAAGCTATATAGTCGGCTGCATTCTAAGATATATTGTAAGATGAGAAGCCAAAAGCCGCGAAGACGACGAGTATTAGTATTGGTATTTTAGTATTTATGTTAATAAAGCGTGTGGTTAATTTCTCAGTTCGCACTATTTTCCAGTGTCTTGGGTGGATAGCTGTACGGACTGTGGCGACACTAAAAATGTGTTTTAAATTCAAAGCTATGTACGCTTTGCTTGTAATGACAAGATCTGTCCACTTCTGTTTATTATATTTCCTTCACCATATGCATGTGTCAATCGTTAAATTTTACTTAAAAATGTATATTTAAGAAGTAATTAAATCTTATGACATATATGAAAAATTAGCTCAGAATGTTATTGAAATATATATAGCCTTTTAATTAATTAAAATCAAATTTGGATATATTTTGTTAATAATCTCATTTAATTAGTAACTTATTATTTTAATCGATAAACAATTTATGTAATTAAATAATTTGGAAAATTAAACTATGAGTTCTTCAATCAATGATAACTTATTCAAAGATACTCCAATTAATATCTCTTATTAAAATCCTAATATTTTAAATATTAATGATATGATTAAGACATATTAATTTTATTTTATATACATATATATATATATATATATTTTTTTTTTTTGGCAGGGAATTGTAGTATATATATACATTGCCCTATAATCAAGATTCCGTTTGTCAAGGAACGCGCACGTGATCTGTCGGATCAATTGCGATCACATGTATACTTAACCTCTTTTATAGCTGGGAGAATTTTAATATAGGACCAATGATGAGACTTAATTTCAAATCAATTCCAAGAAAATCTAAAATTACAGGTATTGAATTGAAATTATATTTTGTGGGATAAAAAACGAAAACCCCCTTCAAATATTTTTTCTAAAATAATCTTAATAAGATATATTTTCCTTCAAAAATTCAAGTCAATCCTCACAATCAGAACAATTTTTACTTATATATCCCATCCAAAAATTTGAAATTCAATAATTTCTTAATAATATTATATAACAAAATCTTTAATAGTTATTCAACTAAATTAAACCATTATTATCATACTACATGAGATACTAATTAAAGGAAAAATTTTAGGTGGGGATCCTTGATCCAACATAATGAATAAGAGGACCCCATAATTTTTGAAATTTCCTTGAAGGACCCGTACGGAATTTCTTTTAATTTTTTGATAGAAATGACAAAATTGCTCTAATTTAAATGAACAACATAAATAACTTGTTTGTTTTCATACTGTATGTTATTTATTTACTTACGGAATGTTATTCATTTCCCTATTTTACTTCTTTATAGTCTTACTTTTACTGGATTTCATTCCAAGGGTTATAAACAAGTGAAGTAGAAAAAAGAATAACATTTCATAAATAAATGAACAAGATACAGTATGAAAATGAAGAAGTAGTTTTATCATAAAATCAATACTTGAAATGAAATCAAGTGAAAGTAGAGTAATAAACAACTGATATTAGGTAATTAACAATATTTCGTAAATAAATGAGCAACATATACCATGAGAACGCACAAGTTATTTATGTTGTCATTTAAATGAGGACAATTTTATCATTTATGTCATAAATTTAAAAGAAATTCTGTACAGGTCTTTTAGTAAAATTTTAAAAATTCTAGAGTCCTTTTTCTTATTATGTTGGGTCAACAGTTTTCACCTGAAATTTTTCCCTCGTTAAATTAGTGTATTTAAGTCGAATTTAAATCTAAGAAAGATGGTTTGAAAAGGTGAAAAGTTACATAAAAGAATCATAGGCAAGCTTACTTATTAGACACTGTACATGATTGCGAGGTTGAAGATACATGCAATTATTGCGTTTCCAACGCGGGGACTGCTCAATGCTGGGCAGCAGTACGTACTACGTTTGTGTATTTATATAATTATTATGTTTTTTAATTATTATCCTTATGTATTTATAAAAAATAACTGTTTTTTAATCAAGATTTAAATTTTATTATTATTTTTTTAAATGTGTGTTATTTAATTTCTAAAAAATTATGAAAATTTTAATTTTTTTTAATTTTAGAATATTTTAATTAATTTATAATGTTTTATTTTATTTTATTTTATTTAAAAAGGGCTTATGGGCTCGGCCCTGGGTCCTTCACATAAAGGTCGGATTTAAAAAATAAGGTTAAAAATGAAAAACTGTGTTTTAGGACTTAAGGCATTAAGGGCCGAGCCTATAAGGGTCAGGTCTTTAAAGGCTGGGCCTACTCATATTCCTAACTCTAAAGAAAACTCAAAGTGGTACGAGAGAGAAAGAAAGGAAAATAAGAAATGAACATATGAAATAAAGGAAGAAAAAGGAACAGAGAGAATGTAGGGGAAATGGCAATAGTCATGGGTATGAGAAAAGAAATGAGAGAGAGGGTGTGGTTGTAGGGAAAATGTTTAAGGATTTGAATTAGAGGTAAAAGGAAAAAAAAATAGAGAGAATATAATAATTATTCCAAAATCTCATGAGCTGGAGAAATTGTTCTAAAGCTTTAAAGGACTTTGCTGTGAATAAGTTGTGATGTCTAATATCAATGATGCCCCAAATTTATAGGGTAAATATGAAAATTTAGCTACCAACTATTTTTCCTAAAGCATTGGGTAGCAAATACTATTAGTTAGTATAAAATAAATTCTCAACTTTTAAAAACAAAATATTCAGTAGCCTCCGTTAATTTCATTCAATGAATGTTAGGTAGGGTCCACAAAATTTGACTGAAAATAACACGTAATATTCCACCTCAGCATGTTTATATGTGCAAATTTAGCCACTAACTATTTTTTGGAGAGCACTGGGTAGCTTCTACTATAAAAAAATAGTCCATCTAGAATCTTCCTTCTAATTTTGACCAAATAACATTTTTTTAGACTTACGGGACACACAATGGACCAATCTCTCCAATTTTCTTGCCTTCATTCTCAATCTTAGCTTGAGAAGAAAAAACTCAAAGAGTTCTTATCTGAAGACCTTAACGAGGATGACGCCAATGAAGTAGAAAAAGAACAGGAAGAAGACAAGGTTTTAATTAAATCTCTATGGCAATTCAAGCGAAGTAGTAGAATGGGGATGCTATTACACATGGAAGAAGCTTGATTCAATGGCTTCATTTTCTAATTATTTGTAGCTAAATTAAGCTTGAATCAATTTTCTCCTATACATAGTAGCATCGCAATTCAAACTACTACTTCACTTGAATTGCCACAGAGATTTAAACAAAACCTTGTATTCTTCCTCTTCTTCTACTTCATTAGCATCGTCTTCATGAATGTTTTCAGATAAAAACTATTTGAACATCTTCTTCTCGAGCTGAGACTGAGAACAAAGGCAAATAACATTTGAGAGGTTGATGTGTTATGGGTCTCATAAGTCTTAAAATAAACTATGCTTAGTCAAAATTGATAAGGTGTTGGATGATCCGTAATTGATGTTAGTCCCTTACCCCTTAAAATAAAATTAGAATTAATCCTAATGTAGTATAGGGCCAACGTACGTCATCTCCCAAGAAATGGTTTATATTCAACTAAGAGGCTATCTAATAAAAATAAATGACTCAATGAGTTGAAAGTTTGATTACCTAATTACCTATTTGAAAAGTAATTAAAATTGTTAACTAAGAGAATGGTGTTATGTTGGGTTATCCATCCTTGGTGGATCAGGCCTATATAAAAGCCCAAATTAGGGAATAGGGCTCGTATAAGAATTATGAAAAGCGTTTGGGTTCAAAATGCGATTTACTCAGGGCCTTAGAATGTAATATTCTCCAAGCTTTGAATTTGAAACCTGGGCGATTGGAGAAACTGCCGCACATTCCCATAAGAGGTAGTTATGGGTGTGGTTTCAGTCGGTTTAGAATTTGGATTCTCTGCATGAAGAGAAACACAGAACGCTCTTGGTCTTTTATCGTCGGTCTCATTTTTCTTCCTACAAGGTTTTTCTCTCAGAGTGCATTTGTTGTGTACCCGAATGAAGTTCGACTGGTGTAACTTTGTTCCCGCATGCGTACGTGTGAATTATCAAGTCAAGGTATGTTTTTCCTCCTCTATTTCCTTGATTGGTATCAGAGCTTTCATCTTTCCTGGGCTGTGTTTTCTATGTTTAAAAAACTGATAATAATTTGCTTAACTCCATACACACAAATCTCTAAGTTTAGTTTTTTTATGTTCTTAATGTGTTTACGCTTCGATCTTCTCTGTCTGTCTTTAAAATTCTCACTATCAAAATAAACGTATAAATATGCTTCTTGGTTAATATGAATGTTCTTTATATGGCCATACACGTTTTGCATGCAATCAAAAGTGACAAGCGTGATGACTGAAAATGAACCGAATAATGGGTGTTTAAAAAATGAGTTTTTTGAACAAAAGAATTGCATAAACATGTAGAACTTGAAAAAAACGATGAAAATGACACCAAGAAAGCGTAAAACGGAGACCGGACGGAGGAGATATGGCCTCCGGAAGTTTCAGGTCCGATAGACCCGACCTGCCAAAGGAACCGGGTCAAGTTGACCTGGTTGGAGGAAGACGACGATAGAAATGACGGGTCATTTCTGTCCTGATCCAAACGACACGTCGTTTTGACGTGTCGTAAAAAAAACAGTTTCTGGGCTACGAGCCCAGAAGCCAAAAAAAAACTAATAAGTGGAAAGGTTTGGGCCTGGAAGCCTAACCCAAAAAAAAAATAAACAATCAAAAGTTCATGGGTCCACGGGTCGGGAAATTTATATATATATTTTAATTAAATATAAAAATATATTTAAAAGAGGACACGTGGCGCGTGGGACCCACTGGCTCACTCATTCTGCGCGTGGATGACTCCACCATGAAGCTGGTGGCGTGTGGAAGAATGTGGTCCAACGCATGTCATCGTAGGAGGAGGATAAGGCGGCGCGTGTTGTGCACGTGCCTTCTTCGAGAGTGGCTATATATTTTTTTAAGTATTTCTTGATCTAACATCTTCTTGGGGCGCGCGTGGGTGCGTGCAGAATCAGATTGGGACAAAATGGGTCTTAAAAATTCCTAAATTCGAGATCTTCATTTTGATATATAATTTGCATATTTTTTGAGATAGAACAAGAATTTATTTTTTGAGTTATCCAGTATTTTTTTATGAGTTTGTAAAAAAAATTCTAAATTTTTTATTATTTATTTTTTTTTCTTTCAAGGAAAATATGAAGCAAGAGGCTTCTAGCAGCAATGATAACTCAGAAAATTATTCTGTCAACATTG